CCCTAAACCCTAAACCCTAAACCCTAAACCCTAAACCCTAAACCCTAAACCCTAAACCCTAAACCCCTAAACCCTAAACCCTAAACCCCTAAACCCTAACCCCCTAAACCCTAACCCCCTAAACCCTAAACCCTAAACCCTAAACCCTAAACCCTAAACCCTAACCCCCTAAACCCCTAACCCTAAACCCCTAAACCCTAAACCCCTAAACCCTAAACCCCTAACCCTAAACCCCTAACCCTAAACCCTAAACCCTAAACCCTAAACCCTAAACCCTAAACCCTAAACCCTAAACCCTAAACCCTAAACCCTAAACCCTAAACCCTAAACCCTAAACCCTAAACCCTAAACCCTAAACCCTAAACCCTAAACCCTAAACCCTAAAACCCTAAACCCTAAACCCTAAACCCCTAAACCCTAAACCCTAAAACCCTAAAACCCTAAACCCCTAAAACCCTAAAACCCTAAACCCCTAAAACCCTAAAACCCTAAACCCTAAACCCTAAACCCTAAAACCCTAAACCCTAAACCCTGAACCCCTAAACCCTAAAACCCTTAACCCTGAACCCCTAACCCCCTAACCCCCTGAACCCTCAACCCTCAACCCTCAACCCTCAATCCTGAACCCTAAACCCTAAACCCTCAACCCTCAACCCTCAACCCGAAACCCTCAACCTTCAACCCGAAACCCAAAACCCGAAACCCCAAACCCCAAACCCCAAACCTCATACCCCTAAAACCCTAAACCCCAAACGCCAAACCCTAAACCCTCAACCCTAAACCCTCAACCCTAAACCCTTAAACCCTCAACCCCAAATTCCAAACCCCTAAACCCTAAAACCCTAATCCCTAAACCCTCAACCCTCAACCCTAAACCCTAAACCCCGATACCTCTATCCCCTAAAACCCTAAACCCCTAGAACCCTAAAACCCTAGAACCCTAAACCCCTAGAACGCTAAACTATAAACCTCTAAACCCTAAACCCCTAGAACCCTAAACTATAAACCCCTAAACCCTAAACCCCTCAACCCTCAACCCCTCAACCCTCAGCCCGAAAACCTAAAACCCTCAACCCTAAAACCCTAAAACCTAAAGCCTATCCCATCGCCTCTCGATTAATGGTTGAATTATTATGTGATTAACCATTGTTTCTTTCGTTCTTTTTCAACGTAACTGTAAGGAACGCTCAATTTTGATGAATTTAACACATGTTGGGTTAAAATATGAAACTTAAACACTTTTGTTTTCGAGTCATTTTGGAGTCTAATTCCATAGGTTTTTACATTGGAATTTTTTTGCCTTTTGAAATAGGATCGTTAACTCGATGTGAAAAGTTGTTTTCTCGTTTTAATGTCATACTATGTCCCCTAAAGATTGTCCATAAGCTTAAAATATTGAAGTAAAAAAACATTTACTCATGTCTATAAGACCTCACAACCTCAAATTTTTCAACGAAATTGTAAGAAACGTTCAAATTTGATGAATTCGACACATAAGTTGTTGAAGAAAAGAAGGAAAATAAAAGGAGGGAGAGAGAGGGAAAGAAAGTATATTTATGTTCACTGTTTTCAGCCTCGAAAATAAAAGTTGAGGCAGGCAAGATTCAAGTTGAAGTAGGCGATTGCAGTGGGGATTGAAGAAAATAAAGGTGATGAAACACAAATTTTAGTGTGGGGAGAAGTCAACTCCATCATCACTTAACTCTTCCTCCTTCAGCACTTCAATTTGTTTTACTATCTCATTCAAGTCCGATCTTCTATCCACATCGTCCTCACAGCAACTCAACCCAATCTTCAGCATCTTCAACAGTTCGCCTTTGTTGCTCTCCCTGGCTCTCCCCAGCTCTGCATCGAACACTTGTGCAGTCTTCTTTTCCTTTATCATGTTGTTCACCCAACTAGCCAGGTCTGCTTTGATGTCATGATTTCTGGTGAGGTAGTTCTCTGGGAACCTACCAGTCAACATCTCCAGTATCACAATTCCCAGGCTCCACACATCGCTCTTCTTGGTTATGCGCCCCAACTGCGTATACTCCGGTGATTTGTAGGCCATCATCAGTGTTTGGCTGTGCTCAAGGTTGGCTACCGGGATTAGGCCATAATCCGTGAGCAGAGGTTCAAACGACTCGTCTAGCAGCACGTTTGAAGATTTGAGATGGCCATGGGGTGCTGCTATGTTGGGCAGGGAGGTGTAGAGGTAACACAACCCTCTTGCTATCCCTTTGATGATCTTCAACCTGGCGCCCCAATCCAGGCCTGGCTCCTCTAAGTTGTGGTTCCCTGGGTGCATATATGATTAATTAAGATACTAGTACGTACTTGATTAATTAAGATACTACTACTGCTCTGCTTACCGTGCAGATGGCTTGCCAAACTGCCGTTGTCTACAAAGTCGAAAATCAAGAGCTTCTCTTCCTTCCTGTAATAATAGGCAACCAGGGGCAGTAGATTTGGATGCGTCAACCTGCCTAGCCTTCTCATGTACTCATGAAACTCCTCTCTTCCCACGTTGTTCATGTGCTTGTATCGCTTCACCACCACCGCACTACAGGGAACAGTTGCTTTGTAGGAAGACCCAAATGAGCCACTCCCCAATACTTCGGCGGACGCTCGGAGCAGATCCTGTAAGTCGAACCTCTCCCGGTCATTCCTCACGAACAACAGTTTGCCATGCTCTGCCCCCCTCTTCGGAGCCGGTGCCACCGACGACGACTGCATGGATCTGTATGCACTCTCCGCTGTTGTTTGCTTACTCCCGTACTTGTTCTCCTCTTCAATACTGCCTCCTGCTGGATGCTTCCTTAAAACCAAAATGATGAAAATTGCAGCTGTCACTGCTAATGTTACCCCCAAAACTATCAGTATCACCGCAATTTTCAGCAACCCTGAGGGTGACAACTGGGATATCTCGCATGGTGGAAGAGGATCTCCACACAAATCACTGTTACCTACAGCCATTCATAATTGATTTTTATTTATTAGTTGTTGTAAGTTACTGACATAAACTTGATCCAGTGCGTAAAGGTGATTATTAAGTTACCTGAAAAACAGGTAGGATCCATATGGCTTAAGCTTCTAGGTATGGGGCCCCTCAACTCATTGTTGGAAACATTAAGTTTCTTCAAAGTATCCATTTCAAGGTGGGGGACTTGGCCTCTGAATTTGTTTCCATCAAGTCTCAACTCCATAAGCGTAGACACGGAAGCGAGAGATAAGGGAATTTGCCCCTTGAATTCATTATTGGTTAAAAACACTTTCTTCAAAAATTTCATACTGGTAAAGGCATCGTCTGGGATTTCTCCAGAAAAATGGTTATAGGAGAGATAAACAGATCGTAGATTGCCTAGTTTGCTTATAACATTCGGCCAAGGCCCAACCAAGGTGTTGTTCATGAAGCTGAGGGTGCGCAAATGAGTCAAAGAAACGAGGGGATTCACATCAACCTCGCCCTTAAGCCCCATATTCTCAAGCCGCAGACCCTTAATATAGCCATTCATACAAAGCACACCCGCCCAGTTAGCCTTGCGGTTGTCGCAAGGAGGAACAGAGGGGTCCCAGCTGCGAAGAGAGGTGGTGGAGGTCAAAGAGCGCTTGAATTGAAGGAGAGTTTCGGCATCGGAAGCCGACAAGACGACCATTATGCATAAGGGGAGGAAGAGGAAAGCAGCGCTGATGGTTGGGGAGGGTGCGCGCATAAGCCCCGCCACGCGCACGCCCGTACGCATTGGCCTTCAAAACTGAACCACCCAACGTGGCTCTGAATTAATAACATAGACACTCACCTAGGCATTGGTGGAGAATTCATGGGAAGCTAGATAGAAGAAGGCCCTTCAATGTGGAGTCACATTAATTTAGGGACCATTTTTAATAAATAGAGGTTGCGTGCGTGCGGGCGAGGAGGGTATGCAGCAAAAGATTGGCGTTCAAACGAAAGAAGGTTGGAGGGAACTGAAAAGGGTACGCTTAGATTGCAACCCCCCACCGTGTCTTCCATGCCCACCTACGATGGGGAGATATCCAAGGCCAACCTTTGAATTTTTTAGGATGTACCCAATTTCTGTTGCCTCTCAACTATTTCCTCATCAAAGCTAGAATTGCTATTTTTTCTTAACTATCATCATATTTTAATTTTACCATTAAGTTTTGGTTGGAAAAAAGTTTATTCTTATTGCTCATTATAGAAAATAGAGATTGGGAAAGAAGAAACAAAGCATTTTTCCGAGAGGAAGCTAGGGGTCATGGTTTTATTAACATACGAAATAATATAAATCCTCCTACGTCCAATCTCAACGGAAAATCCAAATATGAAAGGGAAAAAACAATACACTGCAATATATAAATTATAATAATATATTTTAAGAAAAAACAATAAAAGATTTACTTTTAAAAGGACTTTAAAATATGGTGTATAAACAAACATGTGATGACCCAATTGTACGAGTCGGTACAAAAGTAGTTCAAATGGATAACCCAGTGTTAATTCAACAAATAAATGATTCAGATCAAATGAGGAAGTCAAATTTGATTTTAAGTGGAGCTCCTTTTGAGTGAGATTGGGCTTGGGCGAACTTTGGGCCACGGGCCCTTAACGAACAAGGCTGACTGCAGACTTCTGATCCTCTAGAGATCATCTCGGATCCTACGGAATGCAACTGGTGGCATAATTATTTGATTTACAAAATACCATTGGATGAATTTGGCTAAAATTGTTGTCATAATTACTTGATTTCTGTGACTTTGGTAATTGTTCAACTTCTTCACCGAGAACAAAGGTTAAAAAAAAAGGGGAATTAACGAACAATTGATCAAATAAATATGCTGAATCGAAAAGAAAGAGAGAGAGAGCGAGAGGTGGGATGTGTCCTCCGAGCTGAATAGTTAAACGAGGATTGTTCTTTCCTCTTGCTTCACCTTTATACTCCGTTTGGTAGTTTTTGCCGGGCCAGACAACCTACATACCTAAAACTCAAACTCACGCTCTGTTGAGAGAGAGCGAGAGAGAGAGAGAGAGAGAGAGAGAGAGGGGGGGG